CATTCTTCGGGTTTCTGTGAGAGATGTGTGTGCTGCTGCTGTTTGGGGGGAAGGCAAGTTTCCAGTTTTCTCAAGAACTTGGGCTCTAATACTTTTTTTCTAAGAGCATTCAGGTTCTGGTGCCTGATTTGAGAGTACTTCCTGCCCTGTCCTGGACTTCCCAGAAGTCCGCATCCCGTCTTCCGCTTCATACAGCCTTTAACCCATGAACACACCCAGTCAGTATTTATTTTTTTATTTTCATATTCTCTCTCCTTCTCCCTTCCTTCCCCTCCCCTTCATTTTTTTCCTTAGGCAGAGTCTCACACTATTAGTTACAGTAGTTAGGGATAGCATGGAATTTACCATACTCCCCAGATGGCCTCAAACTATGGTGGTTCTCCTGCCTCAGCCTCCTGACAACTGAACTGTATGGGTAAGCCACCGTATTGGCTTCCAAAACAGCACTTTCATTTACAAAAATAATACCTGCATACATTACCCTGAAAGCTATAGGAAAGAAGGGTAGACTCCTGTCCTTACTCCTTTGTCCCCAAGCCCTGGTCCTCCAGGCAGCACAGGGGATGGCTGCTTGAGAACTTCCCTAATTTTACTTTTAGTTTTTACAGAATATCTCTGAAAAAATCTACTGCATTGCTCTGCATATTTTTGAAAAGCGGATGTATGGTTTTTTTGTTTTATTGTATTTGTTTTTCACCCTTATCGACAGCCAGTCTGCCATTGGAGTGCATTGAGCTGTTCAAGGCTACACTTTACAAATGTGCTTAGTTGAGCACGCATGTTTCCACAGAGAGGGGATTCTTAATTATGTGTAAGTGTGTGTGTGTGTGTGTGTGTGTGTGTGTGTGTGTGTATGTACGCATGAGTGGAGGTGCGTGCAGAAGGCAGAGGAACATGTCAGGTCCCTGGAGCTGGAGTTACAGGTGGTTGTGAGCCACCTGATGTGGGTGCCGGGAACTGAACTCACTTTTGCAAGAGCTTCAAGTGCTCTTAAGTGCTGAGCCTTCTCTCTAGCTCCAGTAGGGGATCCTTATGTAAGGAATGGGATTATTAGTTTGTTCCCTTGTGTGCCCAGCAATCCTTGTTAACAAACTTTGAACATGTAACTGTTATGTGCCGGCCAGGTTTAAAATGCCTTTCTTTAGACACACACACACACACACACACACACACACACACACACACACACACTCAGTCACACACACACACACACACACACACACACACACACACACACACACCACCACCACCACCACCACTACCACCAGCAACAACAACAGCAAACAAAACACAAAATAGAACAAAGACTCACAGTACACTTGTGACTCCTTGCCTGTTTTTTCTTTTTTAAAATAAAAATTTTATTTTATTTTATGATATTGGTGAGGATGCATGCCTGGTGCCCCCAGAGGCCAGAAGGGGAGATCCAATCCTCTGAAACTGGAGTTGAGTTGTAAGCAGCCTTGTGGGTGCTAGGAACCATGCTCTAGTTCTCTAAAAGAGCAGTCAATATTCTTAACCACTGAGCCATCTCTCCAACCCCTTAAAATGTCTTTTATTAGTTAAAAAGATTTTCATGGTAATTGGCTAGTTTTGCAGTGAAAGATCCAGGATCCAAAAACTCTGGGAATCAAACGCCAAGTGGATTCTTTTCAAAATGTTGACTGTATTTCTAAGTCAAGAAAACTTGTTTAAATGATGACCTAATCTAGAGCTCAAAAAAGCAAAAGGAACTTTTGCTTCATAATTCCAATTGTAATAATACATTAAGAAAAAAGTGAGAGAGGATCTGCTAGATGGCTCGGCGGGTAAAAGCGCTTACTGTGCCGGACAGGCAGCCTGTGCTCTGTCCCCAGAACCTTGTGAAGGTAAAAGGAGAGAACACGACACGCAGAGCTAGTCTCTGACCTTTACACGCGCCCTATTGCACACACATGCCTGTAACTCACACCACACACATAAATCACACTCACACACACTCGCACACTCACGTAGTCACACACACACACACATGCCTGTAACTCACACCACACACACTCACACTCACACACTCAGTCACACACGCACACACACACACGTGCACACACACTGGACTCAGTTTAACTTTAAAAAGGGTAATACACAAGGACATGTAGAAGATGAAAGAAGTGCGTGAGTGGTGTTATTCTAACAATGGATATGTGGATGTTCTGGGCAGGTACAATTCTTTAATCCAAGCGCTTGGAAGGCCGATGGAAGAAGACTGGCCCAGTGCACAGTGAATTCCAGGCCAACCTGAGCAGTATAATAGGATCTCTCTCCCCCCTCCACCTTTCACCCTCCCTCCCTCCCTCCCTCCCTCCCTCCCTCCCTCCTTTCTTTTCGTTTTTTGAGGTGGATTTTCTCTGTGTAGCCTTGGCTGTCCTCATTCTAAGACCAAACTGGCCTTGAACTCGGCGATCAGCCTGCCTCTGCCTCTGAGGGCTGGGAGTAAACTCATGTGCCACCACTGCCTGGTACAGGACCTGTTTCAAAAAGTGAAACAAAGAACAAAAACAATGATATAGACTGTTGTTTCTAGGAAGTCCCACTATATCTACATGTAATGAATAAAGAAACATAAAAATGTGCTTTTATTATGAATATCAGGTGAATAAACCCCCCCAATGGTTATACATATCTACATATGTAGTATGATTCTAGTTTTTTAAATCCCTGTATCCTTGTGTGTGAATGTGTAAGTGGCATATGAATGTAATAATGTGAGCATAATTAATTTATTATATTTTGAATTTTTACACACAGAAATCAACAGTTTCTAGACCCAGGGAGGGGAAAGGCACTTCTGAAAGAAAAACTATGTCTTTTGGGCTATTAAAAAAGAAGAAAACTATCCTAATGTGAAAATTTAAAAATGAATATATTTTGCTTATCATTTACCTATGTGTTTGTTTGTTTTGATGTTTTGAGACAGTCCTGCTGAATAGACCTAACTGCCCTGGGACTGCTATGTGGACTAAGTAAACTTTGAACCTGTGGCAGTCCTCTTGCTTCTAAATATTCAGTGCTGGCATTACAGTGTGAGTGGCCATGCCCAGCTAAAAATATTCTTATTTTAACATCTACTGTGTTATGGAAAGGCACAGGAGCATTCTGTCAGTCACTGTCTCCGAGTGCTGTATCAGCTTAGTATTTTCAGCCACAGATGTTCAAGAAGGACTGGTGAAGTCCTTAAGGCTCAGAAACAATTCCCTTTGTTGTAGGGGAGGAGACAGCTTTTGTGGATGGAGGTTTCTGTTCCACCTAGTCCCATAGCCCTTTAGTCCCAAATAAACACACAGAGGCTTATATTGATTATAAACTGTTTGGACAATGGCTCAGGCTTCTTATTAAGTAGCTCTCTCTTAATTATTAGCCCATTTCTATTAAACTATGTATTGCCACGAGGCTGTGGCTTATCTGTATTGCTCTGGCATGTTACTCCTTTGGTGGCTACATGGCATCTCCCTGGTGACTCTCCTCTGCCTTTCCTTTTCCCAGAATTCTCCTAGTCTGGTAGCCCCACCTATACTTCCTTCCTGGCTCCTGGCCAATCAGCATTTATTCATCAACCAATAAGAGAAACATATATCACAGCATACAGAAGGACATCCCCCATCAGCTTTGAGATTAAGGAGATGGGCAGTGTCTGAGACGCCATGGTAGTGATGGAACAGAAAGGTTTTCTAGTTGAAGGGTCTCAGACAGTCCCCATCCAGACTGACTTCTCAAGGGCAAGGCATCTCTTGAGTAAGACAAGGAGCTTCTCAGCTGAGGATAAGACTGCTACTTCTGAATGAATGCCCACAGTTCTCAACCCAATAGGAAAAGTAAGACAAGGAAAGCATCCACTATCCCAGGTCCTGGGTGTTTGGGTCCTGTTCTGGCTAGTTTTTATGTCAACTTGACACAAGCTAGAGTCATTTTTGAAGCGAGAACCTCAAACCCGGATTGACCCGTGGGCAGGCCTGTGGTGCATTTTCTTGATTGATATGGTGTGAGAGGGCCCAGCTCTCTGTGGGAAGCGCCACTCCTGGGCTGATGGTCTCGGGTGCTACATGAAGGCAGGCGGAGCAAACCATGAGGAGGAGGCCAGTAAGCAGCACTCCTCCATGACATCTGCAGTGACTCCTGCCCTGACCTCCTTGGATGATAGAGTCTACAAGCTGTAAGATTAAATAAATCCTTTCCTCTCCAAGTTGCTTCTGGTTATGTTTTTTTTTTTTTTTTCAAGACAGGCTTTCTCTATGGCTTTGGAGGCTGTCCTGGAACTTACTCTTGTAGACCACGCTGGTCTCGAACTCACAGAGATCTGCCTGCCTCTGCCTCCCAAGTGCTAGGATTAAAGGCATGCGCCACCTTGGTCATGTTTTATCACAGCAATGGACACTAACTGAGACAGGCCCCATGACCAGGCTTTCTCTTTCTTGGGGATTGGCATGTTTTGGTGTTTATTAGTAGGTGAGCGTTATTTGATTCTCAGCTTTAGGAGACAGGTAGCCTTCTACTCCTCTTTTACACACAAAGACACTTGCAATACTCCTAGGAAGCAACTTCCCAAGGCAGAGTGGCCAGTGGCACAGCCAGGTTTTGATCAAGGTGGAGCCCATGTTCCTAGCCATGACACTTGCTGTCCTTCTGTAGAGTTACTCTACTGAAGTCTGTGTCTGTCCAGTTTGCCTCCACTTTTTGCATGCCCTTAATCTTCAAGAACTGCTTTTCTAGCCGCCTCCCCAGAGGTCTCTTGCCTGCAGGAACCCCTATTCCCAAGTGGAGACTCTCTGACCAATGGCTCTCTGTATATCTGCCTCCTTCCATAAAAGCTCCTGAGAAGTAGGAACTTGTTTCGTTTCCCATTATTCTCCATTTCTTCCCTCTAAAGTGTCTGGACCACAGTAGATGCAATCAGTCCTTCACAAGAAACAAGCTGGTAGCTGACGCTTTACTTCCTCACTTGATCATGGTATCATGTGTTGACCTAGGTCACCGCTCTCCTGCCTCTTGAAAGGAATGGATTTCAGAAACTGTCTTTACAAGATTGCTGAACACCTGGGCAGCGATGAGCTGGCTGCCCTCAAGTTTCTGTGCTTGGACCACGTCCCACCAAAGAAGCAGGAGCCCATCAACGATGCCCTGATGCTATTTCAGGTGCTGCAGGAAAACGGACTGTTGGAGGAAGACAATCTGTCCTTCCTGAAGGAGCTGCTTTTCCTCATCAATCGGCTGGACCTGCTGACCAACACCCTAAACAGCAGCAAGGAGGAGATGGTGAGGGAGCTGCAGGTTCTAGAAAAAGCCCAGGTTTCTCCCTACAGGTGGGTAGAAGTACGGGCTGAAGGGGTGTGACGATGCTGCTGCTGGGGTCCAAACTGGGAAGCGACTCATGAGTCTCTGGGCTGAATATGTAACTCAGAGACAAGGCTGAAGCCATAAAATCATTTGTTTTTCATGTAGCATGGCACAGAAAGGGGCTCCTGGGGAGGTGAAGATATTTGGCTACAGAAGGATAAGACAGGGAGATGTGTGTGGGGGTGTATGATCAAAGCCCTATGTGTGTCAGTTACGTTCCTTTTGCTGTGGTGAAATACCATGACCAAAATTATAGAAGAAGAGTGTGGTTTGTCTTTCTTGTCGGGCCTTTTTTTGGACACCAGCCCCCAAATAATGGCATAGAGACTTATTATTAATTATGAAAGCTTGGCCTTTAGCTTGGGCTTGTTCCCAACTAGCTTATATAATTTAAATCAACCTGTTTCTATTAACCTACATTGGCAAATTTAGAGAAAATACTCTATTGTCTATCATATTTTTTTTTGTTTTTAAGACAGGGCTTCTCTGTGGCTTTGGAGGCTGTCCTGGAACTAACTCTTGTAGACCAGGTTGGCCTCAAGCTCACAGAGATCCACCTGCCTCTGCCTCCAGAGTGCTGGGACTAAAGGGGTGTGCCATTACTGCCTGGCTTATCTGTCCTATCTTGATGAATCCAAAGTTTTTACCCAAACCACTTTCTATCATAACTTCTATTACCAGCCTAAAAAATATCCTCTTAAACCTTAAAACATTTTCTTAACTAAACAACTAAGCTTTAATGTTTCTCAACCTTTATAAACGTTACATCTCTTTCATAAGTTTGTTTTTTGAATTTGGTAGCAAAGAAGGCAGTGAAACTCTAACTGTCTAGTCTTCAACTGCGTCAGAGACCTGAGAAGGATAAAATATTACCTAAGTAAACAGGAAGTGCAGATCAAACATCTTCCAAAACTATGGAAATGACGGAAACAGCTGGCTTCCTGGACAGTCACCCAAGGTTCCTCTGTAACACTGCAGCATCCATCTTTGGCCTACAGGCCTAGAATATCTGATGGACTTTTTTGTGAGGCAGGAATTTTGAAGAACTATCCTACCTTGTCTTGGCAAAGTTTGGCAGTTGTCATCTTTTGTGGCCTACTTGTCCGGTTTGGGCAGCATGCTGTCAGCAGTCAAGGGAAGGACAGTTTCTTGTCCAGTGACTAACTTTGTCACAAATGAAAGCAAACTCCATATGGAGACTCTTCAATGCCCATCATCTTCTCTGATGTAGATTGGTGCTGCCAGGAGCAGATGTATCTCACTGTTATGAAAAGCCTTATGTTATTAAAACAAATTAAATGTCATATTCAGTAGGTCTCTGAAGTGTTTGAAGATCAACTATCTATCTAAAATATATCTCTGTATGACCTTAAAAACTTATTTCTAACATGACTACAAGCTTGATTGTTATAGATGGCTAGCTATACTTCTTAATTATTCTAAATAATTTATACTAATAGCTTTAAAAGACTATAACTTTACATTATATTTTTAAATGAGCTGCATAGTTACAATACCTTACAGTATATTGAAACTCAAATAACTTTAAATTTGTATCAATATAAAAAATACCTTAAATAAGAGTAGAAACATATATAAGCATGTTATAACAAATAACCTTAAATTTGTATCAATATACCAATTGTACATTCATACCAATGTAAAATATTTGAGATTAAGAGTTCTTTTATTTTATAAGTAGATTCAATAGTCTACCCTTTTATTTTATTATTCCTATATCCCCCCTTTTTTCTTTTCAAAAAGAGATCTCTGAATCTATCCTTTGCTTAGTTCTTTCCCTGATCATGACCAGTAACAACTTGCAATTAACCCCTCTAAACAATAACAAACATCCACAACCCATAAATGACTAAAAACTACCAACCCCACCTCTAAGGAATGTGGGCATTGTGTTCTTAAGATTGCTTCCCGTTGTCTGGGGGTGATGGCATCTTTAAAGTACCCTGAGAAAATTGGGATAATGGTCAAGTCTTCGGAGAGCTAGCTGTTGTCCAGTCTGGGTGTGATGAGAAAGTTCAGGGCTTATCTGAAGTCCTGACTGGAGTCATCTGTGAGGCTGTATCATCTCAGCAGCTTTAAAGTTGTTATGGTTGCAGATTTTTGAGGAAACTGTAACAGAGGCATTCTGAGAGGCTGGATCACCTGCGTTACTTATCTTTATTTGTGTCTGGTCTTTTTTTTTCTGGAAACATAGTCTTTTAAAGGTAATATGCATATCTGGATTAACACAAGTATGGAATATGTGGTATACCCAAATCAGCTAAAGATGACTCTCTATTCTATGCTTGACCAGGTGAAAGACATATGTTTACTTTATAAGTCCCTTTGGACTACATAACTAAACAGTAACATAAATCTCCATCAATGCCATAGGAAAGGATGGCATGTGATAATAAGTCATAAGGACTTTGTAGCTAAGATTTACCATGTCTCAGCCTGTCTCAGAGCTGTTCCCATGTAGAGGGACCAACACATATATCATGTGTCTTATAGATTCTTGGTTTCCTCCTTTATGTCTGAGGTCAAGATTTTCAGGAGGCCTCCCTTGGTCAAATGTGATCTTTATTAATTTTGAAGGAATCTATATCTTTTTATTTCATGTAGATACAAAGGCACAACCTCTCCCCCAACACAACACATTTCCTGACTTCCATTCTGATGTTAAAAGTCTCCTTAAAATATATAGACTGGTTTAATTCAGCTGTTTTCATAATCCAGTGTCTCTTAGAAGCTGTTGTTTTATTTTCCTTCCACATAAACTTTTGAGTTTTGCTGACTTATTTTTTTCCAAAAGTTTAAAGATTTACTTATTTTTGTTTTTAATTACCTGTCTGTGTTTGGGCATGTGTTTGTGAGTATGGGTGCCCTTAGAGGCTAGAAACCTTGGTTCTCCTATAACTGGAGTTATAGCTGGTTGTGAGCTACCTGATTTGGGTGCCCAGAATTGAACTCTGGTCCTCTGCAAGAGTATCATGTGCTCCTAACTGCTGAGCTACATCTTCATCGCAAGTTTTGCTGACTTCTAAAACATCCATTTGTTTATTCACTTGGCAAGCATTTTCCAAGGTCTTAAATGTGTTCATAAATAATGCTTCTATGGTGGTTTGAGAGAAAATGGCTCCAAAGGGAGTGGCACTATTAGGAGTTGTGGCCTTGTTTGAGTTAGTGTAGCCTTGTTGGAGGAAGTTAACTGTGATAGTGGGCTTTGAGGTCTCCTATGCTCAAGCTATACATAGTGAGGCAGTTCACTTCCTATTGCCTATGGATCAAGATGTAGAACTCTCGGATCCTTCTCTAGCACCTTGTCTGTCTACATGCGGTCATGTTGCATCATGGTGATACTGGACTACACCTCTGCAACTGTAAGCCACCCAAATTAAATGTTTTCCTTTATAAGAGTTGCTATGGTCGTGTTGCCTCTTCACAGCAATAGAAACCCTGAGACAGCTTCTGTCACTTACTGAACTCTTAGTGTGCTGCCTAACTGGGCAATGATAGATTGCGTATGTGATGTTGGTCCTGGGAGATTATACTACCTCACTAGTGATGTCATAGTACTCTTAGTTTAAGAGTACATTGTGATGTTCACAAAATGAAGAAACCCCTTGATGAGGATCTCAGAATGTGCACCCACCTTTGAGTGACATGTGACTATAGTTCGTGGAAACTTACGTAATTCACAGCTGTCTATGGCGTAGATATATATTTATCTTCTATCTATAGATGAGCAAAGAATTGCACATGTCTAAAATTATAGAGTTCAAACACCGCACCTCACAAATCTCAGGTTAATGGAAATGAAAAGGGCATGTGCCAGGCTGCCAGGGAACCTGGGTTTCTCAGTGTGGCCCTGGCTGTCCTGGCACTCACTCTATAGACCAGGCTGGCCTCAAACTCACAGATATCCACCTCTCTCTGCCTCCCGAGTGCACTACCACCACCACCTGGCATCTTGGGTGGCTTTAGACAGACAGTTGTAATATGTGAGTTATCGTTCTGGGAGAAAACAAATGGAGGTTCAGTGAGAGAACAGAGCCCCAATGACTATCGGGCAATATGGTGCTGTTGCAGGTGGGCAATGGACAAGGAGATGTACGGTGGGGAGAACACAGGGGAGTTGATTGTGTTGAGAGCTTCACCACCTTTGGTATTGGTGAGAGTATAATGGGGTGTGTGTGTGTGTGTGTGTGTCTGTGTGTGTGTGTGTGTGTGTCTTGTGTATGTGTTTTGAGTCCCTTGTATTCTAGAACCACATGTTTAGCCTTCTTCCTGAAGGAAATGACTAGGACACTGACGGTTCTTAGAAGGGAATCAGTTCTGATGTGCACTGTGGAGATTATGATTCCCCCAGATCATCTGCCCTGGATCTTGATTTTTATAGCAACCTAGGAGCAGCATGAGTGTTTTAGCTGAAGTTAATTGGAAGACAAAGGCGGTGGGACTTTGCTCAGAGTGGGCTGGCTGGCTTGACTTAGTAGATTTTCATCACTATCCAGCCTTTTCCTGAGGTTGACCAGTCAGGCATAGTTGGTTGTTTTAAGGAGGCCCCAGGAGTGGGGCCTGTGGTAACTCTGTGTAGCTATAGGAATGATCTAGGACGTGTTTCTAAACTGTCTCCATTTCCTACCACAGGGTCATGCTCTTTCAGCTCTCAGAAGAGGTGAACAAGTCAGAATTGAAATCTTTCAAGTTTTTTTTGAATAAACAGATTCCCAAATGTAAGCTGCATGATAACTCGGTAAGACCTGGTATGTCCTTGAGATGGGTCGCCACTGGTTGTTCTGAGACCAGAGGGGACTGTTCTGCCAACAACAAACAAACTGTATTCAAGGTTGTTTTCTGTTTGTTTGTCCTTCCATTTGTTTGGTTAAGACATGGCATCATGTAGCCCAGGCTGAACCCAAACCTGCTATATAGCCAAGGATGGCCTTAAACTTCTGATCTTCCTGCTGTCACCTCGTGGGTGCTGGGATTACTAGCATGTGCCACTACTCTCAGTTTCTATGGTTCCAGAATGAATTCAGCACCTTTTGCGTGACAGGCAAGCACTCTACCAGCTGAGCTATAGCCCAGTCCCTGTGTTTAGTGTGTGTGCACAAAAGCACACGTGAATACGTGTGAGCATGCTCATGGCCTCTCTCTGTGTGTTTGGTGCACTGCACGTGTCTGTGTGTGCATTAGTTGAGGTTTTGAGGTAGATAAGGTATTGACTGGGGCAATGCCAGAGTATAATGCAGTCTCCAGGGCCGTTCCTTCCACACTCTCACGCTGGTCCATGGATGCTGGCTTCCACATATAGTTTGGGAGCAAGGCCTGGAAACTGGTGACATCTGACGTGGCTTCTCTTTTTATATGTATTTTTTATCCTTTTAGGCCAGAAAACACAGAATGGCCTTCCTGATAACTGTCAACTCTGAGGGATCAGCATGTGCTCTGGGTGGGAGGGAGATCTCTGTGGGAAATAAGACTGGCCCTTGCTTTGGAAGGAGTAGAATTAAGGAAACAAGGACCTAGTTCCCAGGCCTGTGCACTCAATCCATTCATCCCTTGCTCTCTCCTGCCCAGAGTCTGCTTGATATTTTCGTGGAGATGGAGAAGAGGATCCTCCTGGCGGAAGAAAACTTGGACCCCCTGAAGCTGATCTGTGCCGAGGTCAACAAGAGCCTGCTGGAGAAGATTGAGGCTTATGAGAAATCAAGCAGAGGTAGACGCTGATGGCTGCGAGGCGGCAAAGCCCCCAGAGCCCCGGCTGTTTCTGATCTAGCTCTTCCTTTTCAATTCAGGGAGAAGAATGAGCCTTGAAGGAGGGGCAGAGTCGCCGGTTTCATTTTTAGACGGTAAAAATACTTCCACATACATTTCTTAGATGCTGTGGCACTTGACACCCCCCCCCCCCCCCGCCTTCTGCCACATCCTAACATCAGCATGAACGTTCCGTGGCCACTTGTCACCTCTGCTGCTCTCTGGAAGACGAAAAGAATTTGCAAATGCCCCATGGGAACATTTGAAATGAGCACAGTTACTCTATAAGAGAGTCTTAACTCTGTTCTAGCTGTGTCTGCTTTTGCTTAGAGATGTGGGTCTCCAGATTCAAATCATTTTCCAGAACATTTTTGTGCTTTTGATTTTGTTTGAGACAGGGTTTTTCTACATAGCCCTGGTGGTCCTGGAACTCTCCATGTAGAGTAGGCTGTCCTTGAAATCACAGAAACCAGCCTGCCTCAGGTGTTAGGGTGAAAGACGTGTGCTGTAGCACACCTGACTTTTCCCCAGAACATTCTTGACCAGAGCTCTCTGCTTTGGGAGAGGCCCTTAGGCCAAGTGTTCATAGTTCTTCTCTGTTAAGTCCAGGCTCCCACTGCCCCTGAATTCCTCCACCATGTAGCTGCCTCAGCCTGGGATGCCCCAGCCATGTTCCCTACCTTACCCTAGAAGGGAACTCATCCAGACCTCTTTTTTCTTACCTAGGAGAGCTAGATGGGACCAGCAGAAGATTTCATTCAATTTTTTGTTTGTTTGAGACAGGGCCTCCCTATGTAGCCCTGGCTAGCCTGGAACTTGCTCTGTAGACCAGGCTGGCTTCCATCTCACAGAGATCCGTCTGCCTCTGTCTTTCAAGTGCTGAGATTATAGGTGTGTGCACCATGCCTGACTCCTTCCAATTTTTTGTTTATCTTGAAATTTTATTTATTTTCAACTATGTGTATGTGTGGGAGCACGTGTGCATGAGTGGAGGTGCCCATGGAGGCTAGAAGACGGCATCAGAGCCCCTGGCACTGGAATTACACATGGTTGTGAGCACTATGTGAGTGCCTGGAACAGAGCCACACCCTCTGCAAGAGCAGCAAATGCTCTTGACTACTGAGCTGTCTCTTCAGCCCCCTCCACATTTTTTATTAATCAAATATTCTGATTATAAAAATCATATGTGCTTCCTTGGGGGCGATTCTTAATTTTAGAGACATTGAAAACAGCACTACCAGTCTGTAAACATTACTACTGGTAATATCCTTCTTATGTTTTCACTATTGTTTTTTTCTGTGCAATATATTTTGGAGCACTTTGCTTATTTACTCTACATTTACATGTAAGTGCATGTGGGTGAGTGAGTTTATGCACACCACATTCATGCAGAAGCCTGGCTAGGTCAGAAGGCAGCATCAGATCCCTGGAACTAGAGTTTTGGTGGTTGTGACCCTGGGTGCTGGGAACCTCTGCAAAGAGTGACAAGCTCTTTCCCCACCCAAGGGTCACCCTCCTTTAGAAATGAGGTCAAGTACCAGCCAGTTCTTCCCTCTGTCCACATCTGCCAGAGCCCAGAGATTTCTGAGTACCTTCAGAAAGTTTGAGTCAGGGACTGACTCATCCTCACCTCCTGCTTTGATCAGTGGCCGACGGCACAAACAAGGAAGGCAGTTTGCACTTGGGTTTCCAGAAGCCCTTCCTACATGATCTATGCAATGAAATATGCTGCAGGTAGTTTCATTGATTATTTTTAAAAAGGACTAGTGTTAGGGGGCCAGTGACTTGAATTAGTCGGTAAAAGTGCTACTTTGAGGCCCAGTGATGTGAGTTCCATCTCTGGAACCCACGTAAGGGGAAGGAGGGAACCAACTCCTCAAAGTCCTCTTTGATCTCCACACGTGTGCCATTGCATGAGAGCTCCCTACATCAGGCATGTGTGCATGAATGCTCATAGGCATGCACGCATGCAAGTGTGTTCACATGAAATGTTTTTAAGGTCCTCAGGTTGTCCTAAGCATTACATATTTCTTTACCAAACAACCTTTGTCACCAAGTCCCTAACCCTGGATATTTTTCTTGGTTGCTTGCAGAGGAGAGTTGCTTCAGAATGCCGGAAGTGTGTGACTCCCCGCGAGAACAAGACAGCGGCTCGCAGGTACACCTCCTCACTCCCTCTGCATCGAAATTTCTGTCTCTTGTGTTAGTTGGCTCCTTTTAAGCTTCCAGATAAGCCAATAAGGGGGTGGAGCCTTTTGGAAATTTTGAGAACTCTGGGGAAGAAAGACCTACAAAAGGACCAGTTTTCTTTGTGTCAAACTATTTATCACTATTATCTCTGTTCAGTTGGTTTGTATAGGAGCTGAGGGTCTCCTATAGCTCAGACTGGCCTTGAACTCATTATGTAGCTGAGGATGATCTTGAACTCCCGATTCCCCTGACTTCCCAAGTGCTGGGATTATAGGTATGGGTCACCGCACAGGCTCTGATTTTATTATAAGGTTAACAGCAACGGTACAGGAATTGTGGGAGGCCCCCTCTTGTTCTAAGAGCAGCTGTGTCAGTGCATGTGGGGAAGGGGGGAGGCTTCCAGGGGGGCAGGGCTTTCCAGAAGAGTTGCTCTAGCAGGCCTTCTCTTTTAGCCTGACATTGTAGAGGGATCGCCCCTTTGTGTTAGGCAACAAACAGGATCTTAGCAAGTCTTACTTTTCGTCTCAGTGAGGCCTGTGGAAAGATTTCCTTCCTAGACTATTTATAGTCTTCAGTAATTCACCAGTTACAGTTCAGCCCATTGACTTCCCGGTGGCAGGAAGCACGAAGCCCCTGGACACTTTGAGAAAGAATATGCACTAGGGTGGCCTCCTGAGAAGATTCTTAGGCCTTGTTCTCAGGCCCGGAAATCAAGGATGAGCCAACACTGTGTGTTACTGTGAGATGGTTCAGAATCTACAGTATTGTCCTCTCCAAACAGCTAAATATAGTATGTTAATATCTTAGTAACTGCCTGTATTACAATGTCTAAATAAATCTACTTAATATAAATATAATATAAATAGGAGATACTTAGGGTAATTAAGTACCCTGTGCTTAATAAAGTACTTTATATTCATAGAAAACATTGAAAAGTGAAGGACTTGTACAATACAAAGAGAAACTCAGTGTGTTATAAATTGTTAAACCCTAGATTAGCTAAATTGCCCAGAGTCCTAAGGTTTTTAAGCCTTAGAAGCTGACTTTTAACCCCTAGTCTAGGGCCCTTTTCTGTACACTTCAGGAGACAGCACCGGCTTCCAACTAAATACTGGGACTGTCAGCTAGAAACAGCCCTAAGAGAAAAACAAGTATACAGGCCCCCTGGTGTTTTTGCTCTCCACCTGCTGCCCAATTCCTTTGCACTGGCCTAAGGCATCAGCTGTAACCAGAGAGACTGCAGTGTATCATGTGTGAAGGGCAACAAAGGCAGATGAGCGGGGTAGACCCCAGAAAGATCCCCAGGGTCGTGGAGGGCCACCCCAAGAGGTCACCCTTGAGGGAACCCTTAAAAGCCCCAGATGGCACAGATGGTATCTGGCCTGGAGCTCCTTTGGATGCCCAGGACAACGAAGCAAGCACAGTGGTAATAACTGTGATGACCCCAGTGACGTGTGTGACAGGCCAAGGCCCCTTTACTGCACAACTCACGAGAGCCTGTGCTTTGGGAGGAGCAGAGAGTAACTTTTCAACAAAGTGACCCCAAATCTGGATGGAGCAGTGGGAGGAAGCGATGCCTCCCGGTGGAGCTAGGCAGGGGTCCAGCCTCTTCCTGCGCGGTTGTTACAGGCTGGCATCTGGGCTACAAGCGCCACCTCCCCAGACTCGGCTTTTGTTTTCCAGATGTCAAACAAAGTTTACCAAATGAAGAACAAACCTCGGGGATACTGTCTGATCTTCAACAACAATGATTTTAGCAAGGCGAGGAAGAACGTGCCCAAACTCCACAAAATGAAGGACAGGAAAGGAACAAACTACGATGAAGGTACACTCAAATCCGAAGGAGAGGCATGAGTAATTTTTATTCCTGTGGGGCTTTTTTTAATCAAAAAGGAGAAACAATGATCTATGATTTGAGAAATGGGGTTATAGTTCAAGAAAATCTATCATGCATTTTAAACTCATTTTATAGCTATTTCCCTGTGGCGGTAAAGACCATGGTTACATATCTGTTAGTTCTGATTTTTTCAAATTAGGTTTTATAATCAAATTAATATGTGCATGATGATAAAACGACAACTCTTACTAAAAACTTTATAATGAAGAGCATGAGTGAATTTTAGAAATTTTAGAGTTTTATTTCACTTTTTATTTATGTGTATGTATGTGTATGCCCATGTGTGTGTGTGTGCTGCCCCTGGAGCCCAGAAGAGGAGGACATCAGATTCCCCTGGAGCAGGAGCTGGGAACTGAACCTGGGTCCTATGCAAGAACTCTTCACTGCTGAGCCATCTCCCCAGCCCTGAGCTTTCCTTTTAACTCAACTAAATGAAAAGTGTTTTTGTAGAATGAATTAGTCCAAAACAGTTTGCTGTGGTATCAGAGTAACTGCGGGGATTTTGCTCATAAAAATTATTCTATTGCAACAGGAGTCGTAAGTGCCCTACAAAATGCTAAATTATCCAGAAATGTTGGAGTGCCTATCAATAATTCATAATAGAAGAATATAAAAAATGGGGGCTGGAGAGATGGCTCAGTGATTAAGAGCACTGGCTGCTCTTCCAGAAGACTCGGGTTCAATTCCCAGCACCCACATGACAACTCATGGTTGTCTGTAACTCCAGCTCCAGGTGATCTGATGCTTTCACAGACATACATGCAAGTAAAATTCCAATGCTTATGAAGTTAAAAAGTAAAAAGAATTATTTTAAAAAATAATTAGAATGACCATAACTAAAAATAGTAACAGAAATAATCCAAGCCAGCCATTTGAACTTATGAGTCATGATATCAATTAATGACTTCTTTCTTAAACTGAGTAAAATTTAGAAAGTTAGTGTAGGCTGACCATACTCATGGGGACATGTAATGATCCCTGTTTCCATGTGATTTGCTTATGCAAAAAGATATTTAAAAGCTTCTAAATTTGAGGCCAAAAGTCAGCATTCACTGGGCATTGAAAATAAATTTCGGCTGATGTTCTAGCAGTCCAAGAGGTACGGTGTGGTCTTCAGTTCGCTATGTCCACCAACAATATGTCTGACCCATGGAGACCCAACAAAGTGCTGAGGTTTAAGTCTCCTCCGAGTGAGTGCAACCCAGCTTTGGACGGCCCAACGCCGGACTACATGAATCTCCTCGGCATGATCTTCAGCATGTGTGGCCTCATGCTTAAACTGAAGTGGTGTGCTTGGGTTGCTGTCTCCTGTTCCTTTATCAGCTTTGCCAACTCCCGGAGCTCGGAGGACACGAAGCAGATGATGAGTAGTTGCATGCTCTCAGTCTCTGCCGTGGTGACGTCCTATCTGCAGAATCCTCAGCCCATGACACCCCTATGGTGATGTTACCTAGAGGACTTGGATCCTGGACTCCTGCTCACCTTCTCTCTGGTCTAGCCTTTGGCTGCCTCCAACCTGCCCTTAGCTGCTGTCCTTAAACTTGCCCGAGAGCTGTCTCTGGTCTCCCAGTTGAATGGAGGGAAGTTGGACCTTTCTTTGGGGCCCTGCTTCTGCTTTGACAAAGGGGTAAACCCACAGACTTCCTTTTTATTTTCTCTCCCCTGGCCACTGTTATGGAAAACACTGTTCGTGTTTCTAAGTATTCACTAGTTTTCTTGTTGAAACCAGTTGATATAAAATTTTCCACTCTGAAAAAAAATTCAACCCTTTTTTTTATTCATTTAACTTTTTTCTGTTAAGACCACATTTGAAAGTAAACACGCTTTTAGCACATGTCTATCACCCCAGCTCTGGGAAGTTAAAGGCAGGGGATTAGGAGTTCAAGGTCTTTCTCAGTTGCATAGTAAGTGGTAGCCAGCCTGGGCTATGTGAGACAAAAGAAGGATGGATCGTATTTTATTCCATGTCTGTATTTTTCGTGGACTTGACTTTGGGGGCTGGTCTATGACCTGCATTTGGGGTTGTACGGCTAGTCTTCCTGTTCTTGTACTCAATACTCCATATTGATGCTGCTGTGTTGTTTTCTGTGATACTTGGCTACAGTGCCTTGTGAACTACTTTGTGGTCATTTTTTTTTTTTTTGCCATCCACTTCCGACATTCCAAAGGAATCCCAAACTTTCCACAGAACCAGAGCCCTCGTGTCTTGTCAAAGTTCTTCAGACCTGTAACGACAATTTCATCTCACTTTTATTCTCTGTTCCTAGTGCTAGACCATTTCCTGACAGATGACGTGTCTTTAGCTTTGGTAGAAAGAAAACCAAAAAGATTACTCCAGGACTGGGAGAATAGGAATGGACACAAGAGCTGATAAAAGATTAGAAGACTTTTGGAAGTGAGAGGAGACCGTGTATAAAGCAGAGCAGGGGGAGGTACAATCTAAGTGATTGTGGAGAACAGCAGAACAGAAAGAAACTTATTTACTCCACAGAGTCCTGGAAGAATTCACGAGTCAGAAGTACAAGGTCTAGGTGAAGCAGAGTTACAAAGAGAGGGTTTGTTGAACACTTACAGAAGACACAGTGAACCCCAGATCTGCCACCTAGAGACAGATTGCATTCTACCCTCATACAGAGCAGAGAAGGCATGCTCATAAAGTGTAGCCAGAGAGACTCTAGACTAGGGTACCAGGTTCTGCAAAGGAAGCAGTGTAGCACCGTGTTGAAAAGATAGTAAAGAACACGTAATGTACCGGATGCAGGAAGTTAGGTTTCTAACCCAAGTTGTCCCCAGAACACTGTAGGTATAGGTTGTTATCTATAGATAATGAGATCTGGTGATCTCCTAGTGAAATGGGCAGTGCCCCATCCAAGCGACCGGCTACAAAGTCCCTCAGTGAACAGCCACAACTCCAGATACAAAGCTTTCTGCCAATGTTTTAGTTGACCAGTTAGTCAATATCAAAGAAAGGAAATGCAAACAAGAAAAGAAAATACAACAATATAAATGAAACTAACACATAGCAGAGAAAAATCTTTAAAATCTGTACTTAATATTCTCACAGAGATTAATAAAAAAGATTAGCGAAATGGTATGAAAAGAGAAGGAATCATTAAAAATGAAGTGTATAGGAACATTGGGCTGGGGAGATGACTGAGCAGTTAAGGGCACTGGCTGTACATTCAGAGGACCTGGGTTCAAGTCCCAGCACCACATGGCAGCTCACAACCATCTGTATATTACTCCATTTCCAGGGGATCTGATGTCTTCTTCTGGCCTCTGCAGGCACCAGGCATGCATGTAGTGCACACACATACATGCAGGCAAAACACCCACACATTAAAATGTAAAATAGGCCGGGCAGTGGTGGCGCACACCTTCAATCCCAGCACTCAGGAGGCAGAGGCAGGCGGATCTCTGTGAGTTCGAGGCCGGGGTTGGACCGACAGCCTCCAAAACAATACAGAGAAACCCTGTCTCGTAAAAACCAAAAATAAAAAAATGTAAAATAGATGCACAACAATACAAGTGTGGGAAACAAAGTCTCAGAAAATTGGACAGAAGGAAAATGGCAATGGAAAGCGGCAGCAGAAGGGTAAGAAAACACGAGTACTAGTCAAGGAGGCCTGGCCTGTGACCATGAGTTCCCCAAAAGGAGAACAAGGAGTGGAACTATCCGAGAAGACAGGGAGCAGTCTTCAGGCTGCAAGAGCTCACTGCATCTTAGAAACTGAGAGGGAAGAGGGAGGGTTGGGGAAAAGTCAAATATGTAAAGCAGTCATGGGTCAAAATATCATTGGGTGTCAAAATAGCGAATCTGGAAGCCAAGGTGACAATTCAGAGGGAAGGGGCTTTAGGAAAGAACACTCTCTGTAGACAAACAGAGAGAATCGTCATGCAAGAGCTCAACAGACTTGCTTTTTGTAGTAAACAGAAGACACTGATAGGGCTCAGTTAGGAGGACTGAGGGCCTTGCCCAGGCCTTACCTCCTGCCCTGCCTGCCAGCATTTTCTCCATCTTGAGTTGTGTTCTGGGAATTATTGTAATATATGGTTTCCCCTTTCCCTTTCAGAAGCATTGACTGAGACCTTTAAAGAGCTTCATTTTGAGGTCATTCCTTACAGAGACTGCACAGCCAATGAAATCCATGAGGTTCTAAGATCCTACCAAAGCATGGACCACAAGAACAAAGACTGCTTCATCTGCTGCATTCTCTCCCACGGAGACAAGGGCATCATCTATGGCACCGATGGGAAGGAAGCCCCCATCTATGAACTGACATCCTATTTCACTGGTTTAAAGTGCCCTTCCCTGGCTGGAAAACCCAAAGTCTTTTTTATTCAGGCTTGTCAAGGGGATAACTACCAGAAAGCTGTACCTGTTGAGACTGACGCAGATGAGAAGGACAGCTTCTTAGATGTGGACTCATCTCCAAAAAACTATATACCGGATGAGGCTGACTTTCTGCTGGGGATGGCTACTGTGAAAAACTGTGTTTCCTACCGAGATCCCACGCAAGGAACCTGGTACATCCAGTCACTTTGCCAGAACTTGAGGGAAAGATGTCCAAAGTGAGTTTTGCCTTCTGGGTCCTTCTCAGTGTTACACTGCCTTACTCACTGTCATAGTCAGAGCCCGTTAGAAGGCATTTGTGGTAGCAGAGAAATACCCATGGGGAGTGTCTCATCTCTGAATGGGACTCGCATAGCTGTGTTTTCCAGGTCAGTTGCAAAGTGAGATAGATGGCCCATATTACTCTCTTCAGTGCATGGATGAGAGACTGATATATTTACTGAGGAGTTTCCTTTATTCAGCAGCCAGGGCACCTCCGGGCTGTAGAGGATTCTAATATCACACAGTCCTGCTCTCTGTCTTTGGGCAGCAATATGACAGAGGCAACCCAATTGCTTTGGGGAGTCTTCTAAGATGGAAACAATCTACTTTAACATATTTAAACTTTGCCAGAAGTCCTATTCTAGGGATGACAAGATGGCAAGGTGGGTAAAGGCACTTGCTGCCAAGTCTGATGATTTGAGTTCAATCCTAGGACCTACATGGTGGAGAGAACTCCTTCAAGTTATCCTATATCTCCACGTGTATGCCCTCTCTCTGTCTCTCTGTCTCTCTCTCTGTCTCTCTCTTTCTCACACACACACACAAATAAGTAAATACAAATTTTTAAAAATCAGAAAAGAATCCAACAGCTATCTAACCTTCTCTTCTTAGCAAACTGTGGCAAGTAGTGAAGAGTAGAGACCCTTATGTGTCCACTAATTTGATCTGCTTTTAAGCCACAAATGTGGAATGAGAGGGCCCTATGTCCTTTGGTCCATCTTCAGTTAAATTAGGGCTCCATGTACTTTGGGTTCCCCACATGCACACCAAGCTGACAGCTGAACAATGAGGAACCCTTCTATGGGATTCTTTTAGATCTGTGTCTTGTTGTTTCCAGTGTATGAAGAGTGAGAATTCCCCATGGCATGTGGAGAGTAGACCATAACATCAATGTGGGGCTTTCTTTTGTAACACAGACTGTGAGTCTGTCAGGATCTTTGTCAGCTACACAGAGACATAAAGAGGTTGCACAACAAGATTGCTCAGACAGTTGGTGACAGAGTGGCGGGATGACTGCAGGAAGCTTTTGACTTTCACTCACCCACATTTTGGTAGAAATCTGCTCCCGATTCTATAGGAGCAACGCTGATCTAGGTGGAGGTCATTGGGAGATGTTGAGGCATTTGTGGGGCCTGAGTGAGAGTACATGGGACACAGCAAGGAATGTTCTTATTAGGAGGGGAGGAGGTCAGTTCTGATGGAAATGCTGAGGTTTCTTGTAACCAGCAGAGATCCCAAGTAAACAGAAGGTAATTCGGTGTGCTTTGAGGAAACTGGGTAGCCAGGACAGCTGAGGTAGGTCTTGATTCAGTGACTTGTGACTTCACAGGCCTGAGACAGAGCTAGAGGATTGGGCACAGCCGGCAAGACCTTGGGCGCTGTGTTCCCCCCGGATCAACACTGTGTGGTGCTTTGTTTTCCAGAGGCGACGATGTTCTGCACATCCTGACTGGCGTGAACCATGATGTGAGCAGTAAAGATGACAGGAAGAACATGGGGAAGCAGATGCCTCAGCCCATCTTCACACTGCGGAAGCAGCTCGTCTTCCCGCCTAACTGACGTGCGCCCTACGCGGTCGGCATTGTGCCAGTCTGTGCACTTTTGTTTGGGGGAGTGAGCTTTAATTTATTTTTTATGATTTCTCTTATTTTGAGATATTATATCACTTACCTCTTCCCTTTCCTCCCTTCAAACCTTCTCACATAATCCTCTTTGCTCTTTCAAATTCATGGCCTTTTTTTTCATTAATTGTTGTTACATGAATATATATATGTGTGTATATATATATATTCTTTTTCGAAAATACAACTGGCTCAGTCTGTATACTGTTACTTATGTGTCTGTTTTCAGGGCTGACCATTTGGAATTGGACAATGAATTGGTGAGCTCTTCCCTAGGAAAGACTGTTTCTCCTACTCTCAGTATTCCTTAGTTGCCTGTAGTTCTTTGTGAATGCCTTTAAGTTCTTTTAAATTCTAAGCAAATCTCTGTCTTTGGATGAGTTCTACCAAGACCATGAAGACTATACAAATCCCTGCACTGCATATCACTACACCATTAAAAGACTATTAAAAGCTGGATACCATCCCCACTTCCCCACCCCCACCAACCAGATTTGTAGACCAGGCTGACCTCGAATTCACAGAGAGCTGTCTGCCTCCGGTGTGCCAGGGTTAAAGTCATACATCACCATGACCCAGGTGGAAAGTTGAGATTTGAAGTCCAAAGCAGAAGCTTGCTCAGTGGAACATCAGTTCTAAGTAAGGTGGGACTCTGAAGCCAGGAAGGTTGTCACTAACCCTACTGGCTCCTACTTACTAGCTCCATGTCTGTTTGACAGAACATTTGATTTCTGTAAACATTAGGCTCCACATCTGTAAAGTAGGAGCCATGAAATTCCTTGATCAGCAAAGCCCTTGGCACAGGCTTGGTATGTGCTAAGCCCTCAGGTGGCACCCTGGTCATTTTACTGCTTCTTCCTAGCTGAAATGGATGTGTTCCCATGCTGATATCTTGGAAACAGGGATTGTATTCATTATTTCTGTGGTTGCTGGTGGGTATCAAAGCCAGGTCAATGTTGGTCGTGATGTGTAGGCTCTTGTGTCCTGGAACAAAAACCTCAACAGACAATGGCAGTTTGTAAGCTAGAATATACTTCCAAGACAGCAAGTGGGCCAGCAGGAAGAGGGTTACACACATACGGGAGTGTGAAGTATGGTTTAGGGGGGTAATGACTTTCAAGTTGTACGTTTTCATATTATTTATAGCAAAAGCACAACCATACACAGTACAAATTTTCTGGACAAAACAGGGTAGTTGTGCATATGGACTCAAAACTACCATGACAGAATGCACAAACCCGTGCAAGCTCAAGCCAAAGTGGCAGCATGGAGGTGAGGAGGCGGGCAAGAAGGCTGTCAGTATCCGATGGCTGCTAGGAAAGGGAAGGAGAGCCGGCTGTTTGTGTGTTCGTTAGGCCAGTCACACTCCAAGAGGGCCCACTCCCAACAAGTTGGATTCCATGGGTTTACAAAAAGGAAAACCTGAAGCTGGCTGTGTGGGAGAGAGTGAATCTGGGACAAGCGGGGGAAATTCTATATGAAATTCTCAAAGAATTAATTAAGATGTTTTTCCTGTGCAGTTCTTCCAGGTTAGTTTTCATTTCAGGACCCTAGTTCTGAAAGAATCTCTCTCCAGGGTAATATCCTGACCAATTGAAAGCCCTTCAGATGGAGAGCTGTGGAAACGAGGGTGATGATAAAAAGAAAATGCTCCCTTGGATTTTTGGAGGGAATAACTTTAAAATAGCTACATAGATCAGTTTGCTTGGTACAGTTAGGCTGGACCTACTTGGCTGGAGTGAGGAGGCGGCTCAGCAGTTAAAGTATTGCCAAGCAAGTATGAGGCCCTCGGGTAAGATCCCTAGAGGTCAGGCTGACGCTCCTACAGCTCCAACACCTGGAAGGTGGAGAGGGATCCCTGGCGCAAGCTGTTTAGCCAGACTAACAGTGTCTGGGGCTCTGGGTTCACCTAAGAGATCCTGCCTCAATGATGAAGGTAGAGAGTGACTGAGGAAGACCACATGTGTACACAAAAGCATGTGTACCCTTACACGTGTGCTTATGCGTGTGAACATGCATGCAAGCACCTCCCATATACATACACATGAGAAAAAGTTAAACTTATTAATTTTAATATTGTTGTTCTATCTTCAGTAAATATATGCAACATTCTCGTTTTTAAAAACTGTGCAAATGAGGGCTGGTGAGATGGGTCGTTGGGTAAGGGGGCTTGCTGCCAAGACTGACGACATGGTTTGATCTCTGGGACTAACGTGGCAGAAGAAAAGAATTGACTCCTGTAAGTTATCTTCGAATTTCCAAAGCGTACTCTCTCACTTACACATAACATAGGAATGGATAAATAGATGTAAACGAAGTTTAAGTAAAGCTGAGGCCAGTCGTGGTGGACCACAACCTAACATTTGAGAAGAGGCAGGAGGGTCAGGGATATAGTGCTATCCTCAGCTACAAAATGAGGCCACCCTGTTTCAAAAAAGGGATAAAATGATTTTTGGTAGTTTATAGGTAACTTATGGATTTTAAATTATTGTACTTCTAGTTAGAGGTCCATCAGAAAATTATATTTTTCTTTCTGGAAGTCTTTTTTAATTTTTATTTATTTATTGAGTCAGGGTTTTACTGGGTAACAGTCCTGGCTGTCTTGGAACTCACTCTGTAGACCATGTTGACCTCAAACTCAGAGATCTGCCTGCCTCTGCCTCCCAAGTGCTGGGATGAAAGGTGAGTACCACCACTGTCTGTCTTCTGGAAGTTTTATAAAAGAAGACTTTTAAAAATGTCTTATGGGATAATAATATTAAAACAAAACTAATTTTAAAAACTATTTTATTATGAAATTCTCACAAATATACAAAAAGTAAGGAAAGTAGTGGTTGCATGGCGACAGCATATGTCCTCATGCCACTTCAGTAGCTGCCTGTGGCCTGTCCTGACTGTGTCCCTACCTGCCTGCCTCAGGGGGACTGGCTGGAGGCCCATTAGAGTGGAGTACTTTTACACCTGTGTATGTTGGAGACCCAACTGTCTCTAAAGATGAGGAACTTTTTAGATACTAAATAACAATCAATATTCAAAATTCCCCAATCTTGCAGTCTTACAGTTTCAATAATGATCTAGCAAGATCTGTAGTTTGAATTTTGTTTCTATTTCAAATTCCATAAATACATAGATTTTTCCTATATTTTCATATACTTTTTTAAAAAAAGAAACTGAGTTTGTCCTACAAATTGTTCTTTGGTATATATTTTACTGGATATGTATCAATAGAATGATCTATTTTTCTGTGACCTCCTCAATAAACTGTCAGTGAGAAGAAAAATCTGTTTTTAAAAAATCGAATACATTGTAAATTGACCTTCCTGTTTCTAGGGGATGCTTTTGTTTGCTTCTACTGTGTTTTTGTTTTTTTGTTTGCTTGACAAATGGCATGTCCACACAAGGGAAACATTCAGCTCCTGTTATTGGCTTCCACCACTGTCTACACTCAAAAGGAGCACTTCCACAAAAAACCCAGAATTTGACTAGGCAGTGGCAGTATACGCCTTTAATCCCAGGACTGGGGAGGCAGAGGGAGGTAGATCTCTGAGTTTGAAACTAGCCTGGTCTACAGAGCAAGTTCCAGGACAGCCAGGGCTACACAGAGAAACCCTGTCTCGAAAAACCAAAAAACCAAACAAACAAAAAATCCTAACAACAAAACCGAAACCAGGATTTGTTTTTTAAATTGTAGCGACCCAACGCACCCAAATGGCTGGAAATCCATGAGTTTAAGAAATGGCATGATCAGATATGGTGTGGCTCTGAGTCTCCCACTGCAGCGGTAGCATGCTACCCGTGTGATGAGTTCCCTCGTGTCCACCCCCACTCCCTTTGTAGATGCCTGCCCTGTGGGTGTTTGAATTCTCATGATGATCAGAGACAAGGTAGTCATCAGCTACTCTTCCAGAGTCATCGGGCTAAGGCATATAGTGTATCAGAGAAGAAATGTTTTTGGAATTAAATCAATGAATGGTCTTGCTTGCTATTTTCCCTCGGGAGACAAGAGTCACACCTCAAAAATGCATCATTTAATAAGAAGTCCCTTCAAACCAGTATCTGATCAAAATATATAAAAAGCAGAAAAAAATATAGTACATGGCCCACAGAACAGGACAGAGAAAATTACATTTTCATAGAGAGTCACCATGTAATTGAGGTAAGAATTCTGGAGAAAGCAAATTGTAAAAAAGACAAAAATAAAGGCAGAACAACTCATCTGCATCTCTCCAGAAAGCCTCGCGGCTCTGCGGGCAGCGTTGCTGCGGGTCCAGCCAGGGAGCACAGTGTTATCTACGGTGCTTGCTTCTTGTTGCTGTTGTGTTAGGCAGAGTCGGGCTCATGCACATAAGGAATGGTGAAGGCTGACTTCTCAGATCTTTCTTCAGACATTTCCTCACTCTTGGTCGCGATCTGTTGCCTATAAAAAAGGACAGTGCAACCAGGCGTTGGTGGAACATGCTTTTAATCCCAGCACTCAGGGGGCAGAGGCAGTCTGATCTCTGTGAATTCGAGACCAGTCTGGTCTACAAGATCCAGTGCCAGGACAGCCTCCAAAGCAATACAGAGAAACCTTGTCTTGAAAAACAAACAAGCAAACCAACAAACAAAAAGAGAGTGCATCACTATAGCCTCAAAGGGTAGATGGGATGCAGGGTGTTTGCCGGTGGGTCGGACAAATGTGGTTTTCTTCCTGCCGGAAGCGGGAAGAAAGCAGGAAGCAGTCTCTGTCATCACAGCAGTTGCTTTAAATCTGATGAAATGTGGAGCATGGGTGATCATACTCCTAGTGGAAATGCAATGGGAACTATCTTATCTTCTATGTTAGTGATTTAAGAGGCCCCGTCAGAGGCTGGGGAGATGGCCCAGTCTTTAAAAACACTGGTTGCTTTTCCAGAGGGCCCAGGTTCAATTCCCAGTACCCCATGGTATCCCACAACTGTCTGTAACTCCAGTTCCAGGGGATCTGACAGCCTCACACCAATGCATTTTAAATAAAATTGAAAATAAAATTGTGTGTGTGTATGAGTGTGTATCCAGAGACACAACACACTCTAAATAAAAAATGTAATTAAATAAAGAAGCCCCTTCAGAGAATAGTGGCTCTAATCGGCAGCTGGTCTCAACAGGAACCAGAAGTGCCAAATCTGAGAGTTCAAACTCTTCAAACAAGCCTTTGTCACAGGACAAAGCAGCTCAGAAATCCATAGGCAAAGTACTCATGTTTTACACAAAAGCAGACTCAAGGGAGAGAATTCTAGATACATCACAGACAGACAGACACACTGCCCACCTCAGACTAGCAGTCTACCTCCATGGTAAGTGTGTGTCCAGGCACAGTTCCATGCCTCCTCCCAAATGATCAGGATTGTGACATCTCCAGGCAGGAGACCTGGTGTGTCTTGACTGAGTCCTCACTTGGACAACCTCCGGCTCTGGGAGGTGACTCAGCCATGGCCTCCTGAGCAGCGGCACCCGTACCTGAGGCAGGTGTTTTCTTCTGTCAGGGTCTGTATGGTATACTTATACTTTTCTTCAGTCTCAGCAAGCTTCGTCTGGAACAGCTTCTCCAGATTTCCCAATATAGTTTTCTAAAAGATAAATTTGAGCAGCTGTCTTCCCCCAGAGCCCGGGGGCCAAGGCTCTTGGGCAGAGCAGTGTGGTGCTCTGGCTTCCTGTGCAGTCCAGTCTTCTCTCTGTTTGAACTCACCTCTCTCTGGAGCTCCAGCTGGCAGTGGTAGAGGTTCGTGTTAAGTGTCTCCAGAACGATAGTCTGTGCCCGCAGCTCAGCCTCCAGGATCTGCACGAGAGAAAACTGCCTCAGCACGCCATGCTGATGCCATGCCGCTGAGACAGGAGAGGACGGTTTCCTCTCTGGGACACTTGGAATAGAACAAAGTGTGCCAACTTCAGCTGCTTCCTCTTGTAACACGTACAGCCTACCAGTCACCATGCTGCCATTTCTGTCCCCTTTCTCCCCTGTACCTGGCACTGGAGCCTCACTGCTGCCAAAGCGGCCCTCTTCAGGGCGCCAGCAACTAGTCACAGGGTCACCAGCCATGCATTCATTCACGGTCCTTTTATTTTCATCTGTCCGTCCATCCATCCATCCATCCATCCATCCATCCATCCATCCATCCATCCATCCACCTATTTTGGCTTGTTGAGACAAGGTTTTTCTGTAACCTTGGCTGTTGTGGAACTGTAGACCACATTGGCCTCGAACTCAGAGATCCACCTGCCTCTGCCTCTTGAGTACTGGGATTAAAGGCATGCACCACCACTACCTGGCTAAAGATTTATTTTTAAATATAATAGTTTTATTAACTTTTGAGAATTTCATACACGCATGTAATGCATCTGATCACATTAATTTCCCACTTCTCCCCTAACTAGATCCACATCTGCCCAACTTTGTGTTCTCTTTTATCACAAAGGTTTGTGAGCATTTAAAGTTTAAATTTTGAAGAAATACAAACATATTCAGTACCCAACAAGGTAAGTGGTGGTTTGAAAGAAAATGGCCTCCAAAGGGAAAGTGGCATTATTAGGAGGTGTGGCCTTGATGGAGGAAGTGTGTCACTGTGGAGGTAGGCTTTGAGGTCTCATATATGCTCATGCCACACCCAATGAGACAGACCACTTCCTGTTTCATGCATGATGTAGGACTCTCAGCTTCTTCTTCAGCTCCATGTCTGCCTGCATGCCACCATGTCCCACCATGATGATAATGGACTAAACTTCCGAACTCTAAGCCCCCAATTAAATGTTTTCCTTTGTAAGATCATGGTGTCTCTTCACAGCAATAGAAACCCTAAGACAGTAAGCTACTCAATGACCAGCACCTACTAAAAACTCGGCAGGTTTGCAAACAAAATAAATCAGAATAGAAACAGACTCAGATATTACACCTATAGTAGATTTAATAGAGAAGCTCACAAGAGCTGGTCTCAGAACACATAAGAACTCCCTAGGTCTTGAGTCTGCCTCCTGTACTTGTAGGATGCTATAATTTGTTTGGCCCTTACATTGCTGGCCCTGCCTGGACTTGAAGATAAGATTTCTTCATGACATCTGTGCAGTGACTCATCTTTTTCTCAGGCATATCCATTCTGGATACAAATTAGATTTTCAGAGAAAAGGGAAACACAAGTTACTTTTATATGACAGATTTTTTTCCATCTGCCTTCACAAATGGCCTTGTGTGTCTCAGCAGAAGGGAACCCTGCAGAAACTGTCATGTGCAGGGTACACCCAAAAGAGGGCTTAGGGACAAAGTTCTGCAGAAGACATTTGGAAGATTCAGGCTCAGAGGTAAAAACATGATGTCCTGTAACTCAAAGTCCTGTGTTTTCAGCTTTGCTAGACACAAAAGTTATTCAATGTTGATGACCACCCAGTAGATTGCTGATGTATTTATTCACAGCTGGCTCTGAGAAAGGCTGCATGTGTTTTACATACAGTCCAAGATTTATTCTGACTTATTGAGTCTAACACTTAGATTTAGGTGCTCCACTAATTTTACTGGTTTGGGTAAATTTGTATTTCATTTTCCCAAGAGGGTATCATTTGCAAGACACTAATTTCATGGCAATGCTTACCTCCTTGGATTTTTTCAGCTCCTGAATTTGCAAGACATCTTCATCATGTTGTTTGATGAGCTCCTGAAAACAATTTTATTTGGAAAGGTCACCACTGAGGTTCTGGATATTCTTTTAGAGAATTAAGTATTTGGGAATATAACACTCACTGAATTTAGGCTTTATCAATGGAGATGTGGCATTTTGAAGTAATATAATGAATATCTTACTTAACTTCATCATCTCATATATATATATGTAATGACACACACATTATATGCCAAGCTCTAAAATTTACACAGAAATGCAAATTGATGAAGAAAAATAAAAGTCATCTTGGAAAATAATACCAAAGCTAATTAATAAGTAAAATCAAACAACAAGAGGACAAACAAAAAAGCAAAGTCAGACTATCTGTACTAAGTGACTCTAAATTGCACCAGGACAACGCGTTGTTGGCTTGAGTGTAGATAAATGGTTAGGTGGTTAATAAAGTGGGAAAGAGAATCTTATCCTTCACTCCAAGGACATCAAGACAACTCAACAAGGAAGGAAAATTTCTCTTTTCAGAAATGATGATGGAATAATTGTATATCCATATAGAAAAATGGCCTATGCCTCTGCATCATTCAACACACAAAAATTATTCAACGTGGGTCATAGAATCAGAAATGCTAAAATTATAAAACTTCTCAAAAGAGAATATATTCATGGCCTTATGTTAGGCAACAGTGTTACAGGGAAGACAGAAAAACCTTTTAACTATAAAAAAAAGTTTGACAACTTGTCTTTCATCAAAATTAGAAATTTCTGCCCATTGAAAGATAACATTTGCAAAATGAAAAAGCAAACCCACAGGCTGGAAGTTATTCTTTGCAACATGTAAACATAATATTTGTATCCATATCTTTTAAATGATAGAAGAGTTGAACAGATTCATCAAAGAAGATAGTAATATGTCAGTGCTACACCCTCCCATCTGAAAAACTGGCCGATGTGTTTAGTCATCAGAGAAAATACAAAGATAGTGAAATGCCACTTCACAGCCACTAGAACAACCATAACTAAAGATGGAATGCACTAGCTGCGGAGGATTTGGTGCAGTCAGAATTCATGTATTTAAGACCTAAGAGTAAACAAACCTCTGCTGTGGAAACCCATTTCCTATGTGTACCCTGGAGCTCTAGTAGTACTTCAAGATAAGTAAGAGGTGATGTCTATAGATGCTTTGTTCAAAAGTTAATAAATGGAAATAACTGAAATATTCCAAATCAGGAAACCAATAAGCACACTGTATGACATTTCTACGAAGGAATACTCCTGATCCGTGAGGAGGAACAGCTGGCTATGGTCTCATGCTTGCAATCCTAGTGCAGGGAGGCCAAGGTAGGAAGATCAGGAACTAAGGATCAGCCTGGGTTACACATCAGTTGGCGTCCAGCCTGGGCAACACAGAGAGATCTGTCTTAAAACACCTTTCAGAAGGAATTTATGAATATGAAATACAAATGAATCAATTCCATGCATGTTATTTTGAGGGGAAAACTATACATAGAAGGGCATAGCCGCACAGTTTTGTCTACATTAAGTTTTAAAACCCAGAAATCTAGCAGTGCTGCTTCTTGGCTAGTTTGAGTTTGCTGGGCCAGGTATGCAATGGGGTGTGTTCACTGTTTCTCCCCCCCTCAACTGGTTCCTGAGCAGATGTGGGCCCAGGACTGTCCTGGTGCCCCTAGGTCTTCTACTGCTCTCATGATGCCTCCTTTGAGGGCAGGGCCTGAGGCTGGAGGTGGGAGTGACATCTGTGCCCTCACTAGCCCACCTCTGGGGTGCAGCAATCCCGTCATGCTGCAGTGATTTCCCCATGGCCATCAGAGTTTTCTATCGGGCGAAGGTAGTGGCAAGAAGGATGAGGAAGCTGGGGGCAGAGATGAGGCTGATTCAGTGGTGGAGATGGGGAGTCTGCAGGGGATGCAGTGATGGATTCCAGGAAATGTACAGTCAGAGGATGGTCAGGACTGAAGCTAGGGCTTTCCACACCCTGACCCCACAGGAAGCGACACCTGCTGAGAAAAACTACAGGGCTGTCCTAAGAGAAAGCTTGGGGTGGAATCTCACCAACCGTGAAAGGGAAGGAAGTGGAGAGACATGAAAAAAAATAATTACTAAAGAGAATCATAAGGAAACAGAACAGGAGAAATAAAGAGCAGGAAGGGAAAGGAAGAAACAACTGTTACTAGATGTTAATATATATTTGGGCTTTATGGAGACAAGGTCCCTCTCCATAGTCTTGGCTGTCCTGGAACTCACTCTGTAGACCAGGCTGGCTTCGAACTCAGAGAGATCCTCTTGCCTCGGTGTCCCTACATGCCTGACTTGATAGTAATAAATATTAAAAATGAATTTTACTAGTAGAGAGAAAACTCAGCAAAGAAACCAGAGAAAGAGTCTGCACAGAAAGGCAAAGGGATAATATTAAGTGTGAGAAAAACAGCTGAGGGAGCAGGGCAGTGGTGGCGCACACCTTTAATCCCAGCACATGGGAGGCAGAGGCAGGCGGATCTCTGAGTTTGAGGCCAGCCTGGTCTACAGAGCGAGTTCCAGGACAGCCTCCAAAACAATACAGAGAAACCCTGTCTCAAAAAACCAAAAATCAAACCAAAACAACAACAACAACAACAAAAACACAGGTGAGGGAAGGGAGAAGAAAGGAGGAGAAAATGAACAATTACAAATCAAACGGAGGAGGAAAGGGAAAGTGGGGGAGTTAAGAGATGGCTGGAGAATGCCATACCTTAAACTAAACTGAGCTGCAGTTAGCTACAGAAAATCAGTTGAAGGCTCATAGGTCTCCACAGTGGAACCCAGGTCCTGAGCCAGTCTGTTATTACAGAGTTTGAGACTGCAGTAAAAGGACTCAATCTGGGTCCTAACTCGCCAATATGTTGATATTGCTAGCAGGACACCAACCTCTGAACCAGAGGAGCCTGCCGTGCAAAGGGAAGTGAGAGAAGGACTTTTAAAGGTGAAAACCACCAGAAGACCATGGGTATCTGCACAAGAAAGCCAGTAGTTATTCTGCTCTGCCAAGATGAGGCAGCCAAGGTAACCTCAAAACAGTCCTTGACTGTCTGCACTAGAAGGTTCCAGAAAGCAGTCAGTCATATCATAACAAGCAGATGGTCACAGCTATACATTTCTGGGTGGGGGTAACTGGGTCAAGGTTACTGGGAACTCATCTTCAAGGGGATAGAGTCAGGAAACACAAATGGATAGTGAGTACCAAGATGGACACCTAGCATAAAATGGAGTTTATTTAACCATCACACTGTCACACTCTGCTCCACAGAAGCCCATCACAGGCTCCTTCCAAAGAAACCAAGGGTCTGTCAGGAAGAGGACTACCCAAGTCATCGTCACTCTGGTGGCTCATAAGGATACAGTGACCTTTGCCTTGAAACTGGGCAGAGTTCAGAGACACTGTGTGGGGAAAATAGTGCTCCTTTATCTGGAGCTATTTTGACCTAAAAGTCAGAATTATAAAAACTTGCTCAGTTGTGTGATGATTAACAAGGCCCAGCTTTTGTCTTGATATTCACATTGTTCCTTAGAGGGTCACTGAGGGTATTTTCTATGTTTGGTTTTTTTTTAAATAAACTTTTAAAGGTTGATTTTAGAGTGTTGCAAGGATGACTAGCAACTGTGTTTGCGTTTATTTTATAATAAATTATGCTATCACAACAAAGCCAACAGTTGGGTTTTTTTTAACAAAACAAAACTAATGATAAATCTAGTCCATGGAGGTAGAAACTGAAAGAATGGTTATCCGGGGACAGGTGTGATGGAGGTGGGCTTAATGGAAGAGGAACTGGGATGATGGTTAGAAATGCACACATGAGTGAAATAGTCAAAATATCCCAAATATTGTAAAACTCGCCATTTTACATGACAAGGATGGAGGAACCTAAGGAAGCTTATAGCTTGTAGATGTAGAAGTGATCCCAGAATGGTCCTCGGCACTGGTTGCCTGATGGTGACTATAGTTGCAAAACTCTGCCTCTCTAAGGCAACTACATGTGATGCCAGCAACCCTTTAGTGCACCCCAAAACTCAGACATCTGCCATGTTAAGTGTTTGGAGCTGATATTAACACATCTTTGCTTAGTTGGAAAATCTTGTCTAGAACTTTCTTATTGGTTAGCAGGTGTATGAATCTTCTCTTACTTTAACTCTTGGGTAGCTATTTTCATTTACTAGGTGTGGTCCACGACCAAATTGGCTTGACTAGTTGATGCCAATATATTTTCCTTCATCTATAGAAAGGGCTGGGGTGGTACAGGAATTCAGAGATGCAACGTTGGCAAACCATGGAACTTTAGAGGTTTTACATGTGTGGTATACTGTTATTTCCTGATATTTATAACTTTCATTCCCCAAAACCCATGTTAAGAGTACTGGCTAGAACAACTGGAGACATGGGGACTGCGAAAGGCGGATCCTATCCTGACAGGATTCAGCCCCCCCCAGAGACTGCCAGCACCATTGTCCCTTTCTCCACTCACAGGGCTTTAGAAAGGCTTGGGCCTGTTTGCAGCCCACCTTCAGGTGATCTGCTCACAAGTAGCCGAGGTCAGGGTACTGCACACTGCAGCTCCCCAGCCCGCCCAGAGGCTACCAGTGTCCAAGACTCATTCTCCACTCATGGGACAGGCGAGGGTCTAGCCTACCCAGAGACTGCCAAGGCCCTGATACTAGGCCGGCCTCCATCCACTCCAGAGGTACTGGACCAGCTCCCACCCACTGGAAAGGAACCGTGATCACGTACTCACCAGGAGAGGAAGAGACTCCTTCTGTACCCACAGGAAGAAATGATGGGACTGAGACAATATAAAAAAACACCCAGCAACAGAAAAACCAATATGACACCGCAAGAGACTAGAGATTCTACACCCTCAAGACCTGAACAGCCCATTGCAGATGAGAAAGACCTTAAAAACAACTTCATGAAAATGATAGAGGCCCCCAAAGAGGATATGAGAAAATCCCTTAAAGAAATGGAAGAAAAAACAAGCCAAAAAATGCAA